GGCCAGGGGCTTACGTGGAGAGCAAATGTTTTGAGAATGATGAGGGTAATGAATGTACAAATGTGCTTTATATAATTGATGTATGTATGGATTGTGATAACAGTTGTATGAGCCCCAATAAAATGATTAAAACAAAACAAAACAGATGACTTGGGCACATTTAACTATTAGTAAGGGGCTGAAAACACAAGAAAGAAAAGAAAGGTAACTGGAAGCAAAATGTCTTCTAACTGTTGGGAGGGAATGAGATCAAGAGCAAAGGCAGATGCATTATCCTTCAACACTTCTTTCTCTGAACTAGAAAGACTGAAGGAGAGTCAAGATATAGAACAGTGTGTAGGTTAGGACACGAAGCTGAAGATATTGCCCGTTAGACTCCAACATCTGCTGATAAATTCAGAGCAGGATTGAGAGGATTGATCAACAGCTGGTGTCAATGAGATCCTTCAAGGTGAGATTCTTTAAGTGCTTAAAAAATGGGTAACTACATGAATTAACTAGATACCAGGTGTTCTGAAATACGTGGGTAAAATCACCTATAAGTCTATCTCAAGTTATTTAGAATTGGGGGGCTGGCATTCAGGCAAGTGAATTTTCAAAAAGCTCTCCACGTGAGTCTGAGGGGCATTCTGTTAAGCAGCACGGAAGGTAATCAACTGGCTAGAAGATGGCAGATCCAAAATACAACCATTGTTAAGTGCCCCTAATAGGGGCAGTGTCTTTCATTCAAAGAGCAAAGATTCCAGGATCTAGGGACATTCGGAATGAAGCGCGTTATGCTAGAGCCTGAACAATGCAATGAGGTAAATGCTTCTCCGAAATAATGCCTCAACTTAGGCTGTTAGACCTAGTGTCTTCCCCTGAAGCTTTAGGATACATTACTGTAGAATCTTAGAAATAGCAATGTGGAATTTGGGATGCTTCAACAAGAGTGGGGAGATTCCAGGGACAGTTCCGCGTAAAAAGAAAAAGAAACAATGGAAGAGATCCGGGACTAGTCCAACTGAGTGTGGATCTGCCCTCAAACCTGGGACGCCGCGAAATCACGACCTTGGGACCACTGTTTGGCTTTGACGGCACTCACCATGGTATCTGAATCTCAGCAGCAGTAAGTAGGAAGAGAGGAACCAGCCACCACCAGCACCAGCGCCGGTTACTCCGGCAACAGAGCCCTGCCGGATAGACGCAACGTCGCGCCGCCCCGCCCCCTCGCCACATCCAGCTCTTCTAATGGCTGGGAATCATCGGAATTCCGCCCACCCGCTCGACAGACCCGCCCCCTTTACGCCGTCGCCTGGGACGACGGGACGCCACATTCGACTTGTCGACGTCACCACTTCCGTTTGGCTGACAGTGACCCGGAAGTCTGAGTGAATAGGCTCTCGAGTTCCAAATACTGTTGGATTTGGCTTTTAAATACATTTCTACCCATTTTTCACTTTCTGATGCCTTACCCGGAATTTGTGTTCTATGTTGATGTAGTATAAACACACCAGGGAAGGTTCTCTAGGAAAATGCCCCGGAAGCGAAACCCTTAGTAATAGGAAGTGATGGTTGAGTGAGTAGTTTGTTCGGAGAAGGACTTGGGCGGGGCGGCTTCGGAATGGAAAAAGAATCCTCGGCGAAGTTCAGCTGGTGAGACTTGCCGGAGAACCTGTAAACTGAAGCCTTGTGGTAGAAGGAGGAGAAGAATCCCCGAGGTGAGTCCCCAAACGGGCTTCTGTAGCTAAGAGGAGTTGTGGGAAAGGAACCGAGGTCTGCATTGGAGCTTGATAGCCAGTCGTCTGAGATTTGAAGAAATGCCGGTTGTGCGGAGAAGGGCTAGTTCAGACCGAGACAAGACTTCCGATGTCAACTTCCCAGTGTGGCCAACTTTAACTGGCTTCCCGCTTCCATGCCTGCCACTTTCACACCTGTTGCCCACTCCCTCCTCCCCTCCTGTAGGTATTTCCTGCGAGAAACACATCACGTACTTGCGCGTTTCACTACACATTTTTTTCTGAGCTCCGTTTCTAGGACCATCGCTCTGACCAAGGGGAGTAATTGTAAGTGACGGGAGCTTGTGACTGTGAAGGAGTCCTTTGTGCCGAGTCGAGGATTCAGTACTCAACTTGATTATTTTTGGTGGTGAACACTAGCTGTCATCTAGTGTATTGGTGATCATATTAATATCACTGCATAAGTATCATCTTCCTCCCAAGGTTCTACAACGAATCCTTGAATCTGCCCAGTCGGGCCATACATGCATATATTTCTGAAGGCATACGTTCAAGGTGTGCTTTATTTTACAGTTAAAAGCTACACCGGTTTAACTTTTTTTTACTAAGAAAGTGTAAATTATCTCCAGTAATATCTTGTTTCATAATGTAAGATAGCTTTAAAGTAGAGCTACCCCCAGCACCAACTTCACAACTAGTTGCGGATAACTGAGCAATAAGGAATAGTCAAACTAGAGCTGAGACTAAGTTATCCTTATATTTAAAAACTCAAACCCACTTCCATCTAGTTGATTCCAATACAGAGCTAGGGTTTTCAAGGTTGTAAATCTTTAGGGGGAACAGACAGCTTATTTTCTTCCATAGAGCAGTTAGTTGGTTCAAACAGCTGACCTTTTGGTTAGCAGTTTAAGGCTACCCGAGTGCCATTTTTCAACGTCAGACATCCAAAATTACCAAACACATTGCCATTGAGTCAATTCTGACTCATGGTGATCCTGGAGGGCAGAATAGAATTGTCCCTTTGTATTACAGGAGCAGAAAGGTTCATCTTTATTTCCTGTAGCAGTTGGCAGATTCAAACTGTTGACTGCTACCATCACCAAGCTATTCCTCACAGTCCTCCTTAATTAAGGCTAAACCCTTAACTAGAAATAGTGTTTGCAATTCCTCTATACAGGGGTCCTCAAACTTTTTAAACAGGGGGCCAGTTCACTGTCCCTCAGACCCGTTGGAGGGCCGGACTATAGTTTAAAAAAAACTATGAACACATTCCAATGCACACTGAACATATTGTATTTTGAAGTAAAAAACAAAATGGGGCAAAAACACCCGGCGGGCCTGTTAAATGTCTTCCGGGGGCCGTATGTGGCCCGCAGGCCATAGTTTGAGGACCCTTGCATATGACATACTAGGGTTCTAGCTCATACATGGAAGGGTTTATTCGAAACAGACAGGTTTAACATGACTCTGATCTTGGTCACAGGTAAGTTCTCTCAGTAATAACATTGTCTGAGTCTCATAAAAAAGATCCAGTGGAGACAAGGGCTTCCAAATGGATCTGCTGAGCCACTTGAGAACAGAGAGGTCAGTTCAGAAGGTTATGGTCCCTGTATTTTGGGATTCCCATGGGGTCATCTTGATAGTTTTTTTTCTTGAAGGACACAGGGCAACTTTGAGCACTAAGTAGGAAGAAGGTTTAGGAACATGGGGAAAAAGGAATTGTTTTCATCACAACATGCACCCACTCATTCTTCAAGGATAGCAAGGGCTGTCCTATGAGAATTTCCTTGGGAAGTCTTATGTCATTCATCCTACAGCCCTGATCTGACTCCTTCAGACTTAATATTTGTTTCCCAAATTTGAAGAACAGTTCAAAGGAACACATTTGGAGCTCCTCAAAGATGCCGTTTGTCCTTCCCACGCGGTTTATAGAGTCCAGAATTCTCTGGAGCACAAGTGTGTAGACCTACATGGAGGACATGTCAAGAAACAGTAGCTTCGCACTTTGGTATTTTTGCTTCATAAAGTTTCTGTGATTTTATAGCAGTACTTTTTTACTTATGCTTTGTATAGGTTAACAAGTTCATATCAATGATATCTTTTATCCTTTTGGTGGCCATCATAATGCCACTTGTGAGGAAGGATTACGATGAAATTTCCTTTCTAAAAGGACTATATGTAGAAGCAATTTCATATTTAAGTTGGAAACCGTAGGTGAATGTGTTTTGTGGTTTTATGTTTTTTAATTCTGTCATATTTTTACATATCTAGATTTTTCCAAAGTCTTGGGTTGCATTACGATTGCCTAAGAAAAAAGATGGCTACTCTTGAAAGCTTGGAAACGAAAGGTAAGTGCTCTCCTTTTGTTGATAATTGCTTTAAAGCATGACATTTATGACAATGTGAAAGAATGTTTGAGCCAGCCAACTGAGTTTCCAGCCCTGGAGTGTAGTGGTCTACACCTTGAACTGCTAACCACAAGGTCAGCCATTGAAACTCACCAGTCACTGCATGAAAACGGTAAGGCTGTGTGCTCGCTAAGATCTAGTCTTGGAAAGCAAATGGGGCGGTTCTAGTAGTTGTCTTTTAGGACTGCTCTAAGTTGGAATCAATTCGGTGGCAGTACGTTGGGTTTTTTTTTTTAATTACTCGTGTTTGATATTTCTTCATTATTATTCTGTAGTGCATTGTTTGTATTTGATAGCTTCAGATATACAAGTGAATGTTAATATTGGATAATAGTTACCATATGACTATTCACTCTTAACCACCTAGTGTAAAAGTGACTCCAAAAACCAAACTCGATGCCATGAAGTTGATGCCGACTCGTAACTGTGCTGTGAATTTCCATGACCGTAACTACTTACAGGAGTAAAATGCCCTTCTTTCTCTAATGGACCGGCTGGTAATTTTGAACTGCTGACCTTGCAGTTAGTAGCCCACTGTGTAACCACTACTCCACCAGGGCTGCTTGTAAGTGCCTACTAGAATTTAAACTAATTAATAATCTAAAACATTTTAAATCAATGACTCACTGACTAGCCACGTTTGATAGCTGTGTACACTGAGTGGCTGTTGTATGGGAGGTGCGGAGGTACCACAGTTCCATAGTGGCAGCAAGTTGTATTTGACAGCTCTAGCTGTACCTTCTCCTTCTTTTCAGCCTCCTCCCCTTCAAGTTTATCCTCGATAAAAAATCGATGATTTTTTTAGCATTGCCGCCACTTTTTTTTTTAACTGCAGCTCGTTTCTTCCAGGATTTCAGTTATTATCTCTGAGAATGCCATCCAAATCTGTCTTAGCTAGATCTCTTCCCCTGTGACTCATTCATTCATAGTCTACTGCATCTTCACTTAGGCGTATTCCACAGTCTCCCAAAGTAAACTTCTGACCTGCTCCCTCTTCAAGTGAGGCCTGCAAGTTGGGGCCATCCGTGAGAGAGGGGATGCCAGTTTGCAGCAAGCCGACCTCCAGCAGCAAATGCTCTCTGAGAATATTAAAATGTGCTTGAGAATCAAGGGAGAAAAGATCATGCCAGTAAATACTTAATAGACTATAATTCAGCTGTGTACAGCAGTATTTCATGTTGCTAGAAGGTGTTTATTGTATTAGAATAGGCCAATCAGAAACTATAAAGGCAAGTAATAAATGGGATTAATGGGAGACAAAAGCAACATTTAACATTGTTAAATGATAACAACAGGTGAAAGCAGCCAGCATGGTATTTGGCAAAAAGCAAAATTAATTAATGAATAATTACAGCATTCGGATTAGAGATTAAAAGTTATTTATTGGCAGGCCTCTGAGAAATAAAAATTTTTGTTTGTGATGAAGATTAGTTACAGAGCACTTTCACATATATTATTTTATGTCATCTTAATTATCTAGTAAGAAAAGTAGAGTAGGTCAGCTATTTGTTCCAGCTGGACGTAATATAATGTTAAATATTGTTATTAGTGAACAAAAGGTGCTTGTGTTGGATAGCCTGAGAAAAGGGATGGCATTTATTATGGTTGACATTTACCTGTACTTCCTATGACTGCCTCAGAAGAGAAACAAGATGATGTGGAGTTAACAGCTACAGAATTTCCTCCCAGGACATTTGAACAATCCTGTCATCATGAGAGGGATGTGTCATTGCTGGAAGTACAGTTTCTACATGGGAAGCATAAAATAATTATAGAGTACATAAGTATATCAGACAATGCTTTTCTTGGGAGTATGATTATAACAAAAGGTATTAAAGTCATAAGGTTGAGAAAAAGCATACCAAACAGTAAGGTCTGACACATTTAAATATTTATATGTAATTCCATAAAGTATCTTAACTTTAACACTAATTCTGTGAACTGATAAATATTAGATGAAAAGGGATTTCATGGTTAGGTAAATTTGGGACCTTCTGGATTCAAGGAAAGGGTCATACTCAGGACTTCTCAGAAACTTTAGTATGCTAATAGACATTGTGAAATTATTAAAAAGAGATGATACTCAGTATTGCTCATACTGATTTCAACCCGGAAACTCTTTATTCATGGAGACTGTGGCGAGAAGAATGGATTCTACATGAGTACATGTTGGTCTACCATTTTCAGAGCCTGGGTAGTAGCAGAGAGCTCTGAAATGGGCTGCTAACAGCAACGTCGGCAGATCAAACCACCCGCCACTCTGAGGGAAAAAGATGAGGTTTTCTACTCCCATAAAGAGTTAGCCACTCAGAAGGCCACAGGAGCAGTTTTATTCTGTCCTATAAGGACATCAACTTAATGGCAATGAGTGGAATGAGAACTAAATTTTAATAGATGGTATTTTAAATAATAATTAGTTTAGCCAAATGAAAATCCCCAGAAATTTTACTAGCTGAATTTGTGTACTTTCTGAAGTTTGTTAGACATTGCATGTTAGGAATTAATACTTTAGAGGGAAAATGTAAACATTTTATTAGACTATTAGATGTGAAAATGAAATCTTCTAGGTAGTGCACTCAGAGGTAATGAAAGTTCTTAAATGTTCAGACACCTTTTCTGTGTCGTCATTATTTATTTAGCTGATGATACAAAGAGTAGTAGGGCTTTTCCTGGCCTGTGGGGCTTTCAACAGTCAGGTGCAAGAGAGAACAAATCATTTTAAAACGCTGTCGAATTTTCAGTATTCTAAAATCATTGTGGGATTGGGTGGAGAGTAAGACGAACTGAACTGCTGCCCAAGGTTATACAGTAAGTGGTTAGAATAGGAATTTAAATTCTGTTCTTTTGACTCAAAATTTGCTATTCACTTCACTACCCAACCCTTTGATTTCGAATGCTTGTCTTCATAGATCGATAGTTTGTGAATGAAGCAGGAATGCTTGCTTAATAACAGGCTGTAAGAGCATATTCTTTTTACTCCCGTGTTCCAGAGCACAGCTGGCTGAGAACTTGTAGTCAGCTTGATGATCCAGAATATTAACTTTGAATCCCAAGTAAGCCAAGTATTAATCTAAAACAAAAAGGCTTCTTTTATTTTATTAGACATGTATTATATATTTTTAAAGTTTTAATTAATTTTATTTTTACATTCATCAATAACAATTTGTGAAGATTTACTTATTAACATGAAAATACTTACATGTAATACCTTTCATTTTCTCTCTAGGATTACAAAGGTTAACATACTGACTATATGACTCAGTGGAAAAAGCATGCCAATGCTATTCTAGTGTTGCGCTGGTGGGCTCTAGGCCCTCTGACCTCCTCTAACCTCATGCGAGCAGAGCCAGCAGCCCAGGACTCATTACTATGAGGCAGAAGTTAGACATAGATCCTTACTCCAATCGTTTTTGCCAGGGCTTCAAACCACATATATTTTTTTCATTCCAGTTATCATTATAACTCACTCAAATTTTAAAAATTGCTGTTCCAGTTTCTCTTCACCAACCATGACTGAACTGCTTTGAGTCTGTTTTGTACTTTTCAATCACAAGTTTATATTCTGCAAGTAGATAATCTAGAATAATTTCATCTGAAGAATTATTGCTTCTAATTAGTCTTGCATTTTCATATTAGCTAGAATTTTATGCATCCCAAATTTCATTAGTTTTGAAAGGAGCAATTGGAAATGGTTTATTTCTACACATCATTAGTGATTAAATCTGAACTGACAAAAAGGCTCAGTTTTAATCATTGTCTCAAACATTTCAATAAAAAGAAAAGGTATATATTGTCATATACAATGATACCTCAATTGTAGAACTCCATTCATTCCAAATTTTTGTTTGAACGCCAAGTGTTCAGGAACTGAACACAAACACATGATTCACTCTCAGCCTCCACAAGTTTTTTCAAGGTGGATTTTCAGTTTCACTGTTTCGCAAAATTATGAACACAGAGCAGATGTTTTTGGAACTTTGTTCTTCGAGTAATGGAAAGTTTGATCTTGGAGCTGTTCGACAACCAAGGTCACATTGTGCTAGAATTCATTGTAGTCTAGGAGGTTCTCAGTACAGGGGCTCTGGGTTCAAGAATGCACTCTCGCTCAGATCTCTTCAGCAGTGGTAAGGTCCCTTCTTTGCTGTATCAGACGGGCTCACTTTAAGCCTAGTAGGATGGCAAAATTGATCAGTTTCCAATTAGGAAATTTGTGGTCTCGTTCCACAAGGATGCCTTGAACCTTATTTGCATAGTCTCACCCAGTCATTTGATGGGACGTGGCAAAACCATAATGAGAAAAGTTAAATAAAAGCAATTCATCATATGCACTTACTTGTTTTTCTCTTGCAACTTCCCCCAGCCTGGGGAAAGACCATTAGAACCATAAACGTTAGATGTGCTTTAATTCTTTGACAAAAGATCATATGTTGGTAAAAAGTTTAGGAATTGTTTTATTGGTTCCTTTCAAAAGGTAAAGGAACCAAGAGCTGATATCAAAGAGTATAAGAAGGAAGAAAATGTTTTCAGACTGATTGTGGGAGCAATTGTACAACACTTCTTGATATCACTGAACTTTTGAATGTCTGGATTATGTCCTAATAAAATGGTTGGTGGGGAAAGTAAAAGGAGCATTGTAATTACAAGTTTCAGTGCGATCTGAAAGGTGAGCAGTTCAACCACCAGCTTGAAACCAGTAACCGCTCCACAGGAGAAAAACAGGGCTTTCTACTCAGACAAAGAGTAGTCTCAGAAACTACTGAGGCAGTTCTGCCCTGTCATCTAGTGTCGCTGTGAGTCGGCATGGACTCAACCACAGTGAGTTTGTTTGCTTGCTTTCAGAAGGTAGAGAAGGGTCTTGCTTTGCCTATTTAGTCATTGCTCTTAATGATGAAGCTAGCACCACAGACCTTTGTCTTCTCACTTAACGGGAGGTAATTGCC